GGCCCTGCCAACATATGTTGGCCCAATAAAAGATATTACCTCACCCACCTTGTCTCTCTCAATAATAATAATAATAATTAATAATTAATAATTAATTAACCATTTCGGACAGTAGAGACAATAAACTTGCAACCCCATTATGCCATTTTTAGCATCCCTTTAAGACACTAAGTGTTCCTCCACTTTCAGATAATTATGTGCGACAGTGCATGTTATCCGACAGTTCCTCATCAAGCTGTGTTTGTGGCCTGAGTGGTGTGGTGCTGGAACCATCTTTATGGCTTCTTTGGCTAAAAGTCAAACTGAGAAATTCCCGGCACTAGATCATACTAGTTATTGCTCTTACAGGCCACCCTGGTAACAATACATTAACCTCTCAGCAGGGAACGTGATAAACAAAGTAAAAACTGCTTTAGTGAAACCAGTCCTCTAACAGCAGTGTACATAAAGTAATCCTTACAGATTTATAAATGTAATAAGCTACAGTTCACTGAGTGAACAATAACTGTTCCTAATTTAGCCAGCCAAGGAACATGCCAATCTAATTTGCTGTTGTGACTTTTTTTTCTTTACCCCCTCCAGATTCCTTTCTCTCTGGTGCAGTTTCCCCTTTGGGAGTCCTTAAAGGTAAGACCCATTAGTGTGTCAAGCTTGTGACATTAGAAATGTGTGCATCTTAGAAGCTTGTATGATAACTTACCTAACTTGTTAACCACAGATATGGACACTTCAGAGAATGCATGTACAATGCTAGTTTTGTATATGATAATCATTTGGTTGGATGTCTGAAAAACGACAGCAATCTAAGCTTTAATGCACGTCATGCAAACAAATCCCAGTGCTCCGCACTGACGATAAACACCCCAGAAGTTTTGTTTGCTGTCCTACCTAATGGTATCGATTTAAAATTGTCTGGGAGCCATCAATGTTGTCTCAATTTGCAACACCTCACTCCTGAAGGTAAAGAGGGAATTTTGAGTTGTGCAGAGGAGACTGATTAAATAAAATTGTTGCCAAGAGCCACCCACAATATGTCATTGGTGTTCTGATTGGCTTTGTACCAATTATTTGAAAGAATTGTTTACAGAATCTGTAAATCAGAAGATACCTTAATAGAGCAATCTTCTAGAATGATGCAACTTTATATGAATGTTATCCCTCCAGTTGGTTGCATTGTTTATCTAAGGTGAAATTGCTGTCCAACAAAAGGACTCGTGGTCTAGTGTTTAAAGCACAGAACTGGAATTCATGAGATCAACGCTCTGTTCCTAGCTGTGCTACTCACCATTGGCAAGTCATGTAATTTCTATGTGCCCCAGTTTTCTCATCAAATGGTTAAGCTGTTAGTTCTGCACCTCAGAGGGAGGTTAGGGGGGCTAACATTTGTAAAGTGCTTTGATGTCCTTGCACAGAAGGCAGAATAGAAGTGCAAAGTGTTGTTGCAGGCCATTGCAAATGTTGTGGTAGGATTTTATATTTATATGATGGAGGGGTGGAAGGATTTTTTATTAATATTATTATTATTAAGTGAGTTGGACTTCTGGAACTTGTTGGATGACAGCACTGTAAAGTGAAGTCCTCTCCTCTTACAAAACAGATGCACAATAAGCGGTAGGAGTGCTAGCTTCCCCTCCACGGCAGCATCAATGTGCGTGGACCTTGTTCCAAAGGAAGCAGTTCTAGGACTGATGCATAGTCCAGATTCCAAGCTGACTGAAACACTCGACTCTTCCTTGAGAGACAATTAGTACAAATTGTGCCAGTGGTTCTGGAGACGTAGGAATTTACCCGCTTGGAACTTGGTTGAGACCACAAAATCATTTCAAATAACCACCAAACAGCTGGCAGATGCTAGTAATTTTCATTCATGAGCAGCCAGAGCTCAGTTCAAACCAGTGACCTAGGAAAAAGAGGCTATAGTATCAGTTATTTGAGCTATCCTGGCCTTACAGGACTGAAGGATTGGTTCCGTGAAACCCTCTGAAAGCTGGGTTGGAAAACAGAATTTCCATCTATGGGAAATTCTGATTGGTACAACCCTGGATGCTCACCAGGCTGCTGTATTAGACCCAAACCTTGGCTCCCATATGCTTTTAGGCTGGCTGAGTCTGGACAGAATCCAGTAACTGCTCAAGCTCTGGGCTTCTAGGCATGCTCTTGGAGTGAAGATCCCCTATCTAACTCCCACTCCTGAGATATAGACTCTGCAATCCAAGTGACTAGGACCTGAAACTAGTGCTGGTTCCTTACAAGACTCCCTGATAGCTATTGTACTACCCCACCCCCCCGCCCCCGAGTTACACCGATACTCTGGGCCCTCTGGATTACTGTTTCACTTTTGATGACTATGTGATAGTTAAAAGAAGGGGAACACAGGCTGTGTAAAGGAATTTCTAAACCAATCACATTTTACTCCTAGATAAGGCACAAGAGAGGTACAGATCTATGGAAAAATAAGCATCTGTATGCAGAACCCTCGCTCGCGTGTCCACACCATTCTAGAGCCCTTCGGGTTTTTGTCAGTCCTTTCAGGGCTCCAGAACCCTTTTCTCCTCCTGCCCAGTGTTGCCTTCTTGCTCTGGTCTCTTCTAGAATGGCCAGTGAGAGAGCCTCCCACTTATAAAGTTCCAGTTCCAACCCCTCCCATCAGTTGACACCCCTGAACGGCTTCAGGTGTCTTATCAAGTGATTTTTTTTGCTTAGTTGCATTGCAGCCCACCTGAAGTGCAGCCAAGGAAAACTGCTTCCCCTTGGCTGCAGCCAGGTCATTGTTCTAGGTTGATTTTCCATTTGAAAGGAAAGCTACCCAGGCTAATGCCTCTTGATTGCTCTTCCTTGTTAGCCCTCTGCTAGGTGCCAGGATTTCTCCTAACATCTCCTGGGCATTTCAGCTCAAGATGGGACTCTGCAGTGCCAAAAGTAAAAGCACATATAATCGATTGTAATCAAAATGGCATTCAGATAACAGAATGGAGTTAGCAGGCTAATGTAGGCCTGTACAGACACCATACCAGTCCGACACACCGATGGTTTCAACATCCGGTTTTTCCATGAAATGGGACAAAATGTCAAAACACTGAAACATTTTACAGCATGGAAAGAGCTGAAAAACTTTGATTCAGAAATGTTGAAATGAATAATTCTGAGTTTTCCAGTGGAAAGAAAACATTTTGTGTAGAATTTTCCCATAGAAGAACAAGAAAATGTTGTCAGTATTGTCATTGTTTTTCGACAAGCAAAAAATTGATGTTGTCGATTCCCTGTATTTCATTGAGGAAATGTTTCTGGCAAAAAATTTCGACCAGCTCTAACGTCCATGTACCGGGTCAGATACTTCCCCTCACCACAATGGATGCAGGAGTTGCACTGTACACCATTACTGTACCTGCAGGCTGCAAGTGAGTCCGAACTAGGGTAAGAGTGACGCGCCCAGGGTTTAGGGGGCAGTGGCAGTGGCAGTCCTCTCCTTACTCCCACCACAGCTGTTCTGTTGGGACTTGTTTTCTGGCTCCTCACAGTCACAGGTTTCCCAGGAGAGGCGTTTAAATAGCACATCCCCAGACCAGCCTGGCTCTGTCTCTTTCTGGACCAACTTCTGGTGCTGGATGGAACGTGGTACTGGCGATTGTACTTTTGCATGGATTGTGCCACGGCACCCTTGCTCAGTGCAGGTGTTGTGCTGGTGAAATGCGCTGTCTGTACTTTTCACACCAAGCCCTATTATCTGTTGTATTGTGGTAAAGCCTAGAGGCCTCTATCAGGGCCCCATCAGGAGCCACCCATATACAAAGAAAAGATGGTCCCTACCCCAAAGTGCTTACCACCAAACTATAAGACGAGAGCCAAAAGGTGAGGGTGGGGGAGCTGAGGTAACAGTGAGAGACGGAGGATTGGTGTAATAAGCAGCATCCCAGCTGCCGAGCCGTTGAGTGTTTTGTAGGAATCCCAGCACCATGTGCTCATCGCGATGTTATCTGAGTGTGGATCTGGGAATTGTCCTGTTGCACAGGGGTAACTTCAGCTACCTTATTAGGAATCTGTTTTTATGCCAAATTACAGGAGCAGCTTTCAGTGAACTCGTATCCCACAGAGCTGACGTGACATCGTAACTGCTCGTGCCGCATCTTTGTTCTGGAAACTAGAGACGGCAGTATTAAAAAGGGCACTGTGTCCTCCCAAACCACATAAAGCAGGAACATGATGTAGCTCTTCGCAGAATGTAAAGCTGTTTTAACAAACGTTCACGTAGTTGTGGTGATAAAATGTATTGTTTAAAACCTAGGCTGTAAAGGAGACCGTTCGAATTTAGCTGGCTAAGTAAACAAGCCTTTTAGGATTAGACATCACCGATCATTTAAACGGGTTGGTGGATATTTCCAGCAACATTTAGACTGGACAGCTCATACCATAGCCCAGTTTCAGTATATTGGTCTACAAATAACAACCTGTTACTGAGCGTAGGGATCTTAAAATCCTTCGCACGTGCTTCAGTCATTTCCTTTTCAGCATCTCGATAAAGAGCTAGAGGTTTGTCACATCAAAGTCACAGCAGTGAAAGCAGGAGCCCTGGCTGTAGAAGTAACTGATTGCAGATGATTGAATTAAACTCTTTTTAAAAAAATCACAAATACTGAAGCAAAGAAGAAAAGTTATGGTCTAGTCACCTGTGAACACACGGGGAGTAGCAGTTAAAGGATTCAGCAGCAGGTCTTCTCACAGGGTCTTTGAAGGGAAGGGGGGAAACAGTAAATAGCAGGAGAGGCAGCACAAAGCACTGACACAGAAACCTTAACTAAAATTATTGAGTCATTTTTGTCCGGCTTGTCTTCATCCGTCCCTCCGCGAACGCAAGTCGATGCCACACCATTCCGTTTTGTGGCGAGCACGTTCTTTCCATTTCTGGCCAAAGAGTTTTGTCATGGGATCAGCCCAGCGCGTTTTCGGTCTGCCCAGTGGTCGCTTGTGGTCTCTGGGGATCCAGTCACTGATGTGGGTTGTCCACCTATTGTCTAAGGGGCTATGCTGGGCTGTATTAAAGGGGTTGGTTGTGAAGGGAGGTGAAACACCCGAAGTATTGATAAGCGTATGAGGCGTATAGGGTCAATTCATTGCTGTGGCTGAGGGAATCAGATATTGTGGCTGGATGATTTTATGACCATTAATAAAATCTGTAGTTGTATAAACTGAGTCATTGGTGACTCAGTCTCATGTGTCTGTGCACCAGCAAATTACTGCAGGGATCAAGGAAAATAGCTCGCCTCCCTGGAGAGCACAATTAGCTACATGCCTGGTAGGGAAGCAGGGATTACCTTCCAATGAGACATCAGGTGTTGGCCAAAGCCAGAGACAGGGTACTAGACTTGGAGAAGCAGTAGTCTGATCCCATATGGCAAATCATATGTACCTATATCCCATTCTGTGTCTTTGCTTTGCTCCAAGCAGCCATGTGCTAAGCCTGTACTTAACATTTGTTCTTCTGGCAGGTCATTAGCCATATTATAAACACAGCACTATCATAGTAGTAAATACTGACAGGTTGTACTACATGAAATATATAGTATTGCATATCATGGCACTATAATATGTATAGACAATGAGAGAGAGAGGACACCACACAGATAAGGTTA